AGCTTCACTTAATGCTGTTACCAAGCAACTTTAACTGCAGCAAAACACAACACTTCCACAGAAAGGAGAGCATTCACAGGGGATTGGAACTGGTTTCACTGTAGTTAAATGGGTTTCTATATAATTGCATATTTTTTTCCTGTTAGCTTCATGAGTACAGCTTTGGTATCTTTCCATGGCTATTGTTTTTTCTTTTGTTTTTGTCCATAAATATTTGTCTAGGAAAAACATGAGAATATTATGCATTTTCCTGAGATTACAGAATGTAAAAGAGGCACTGGGGAATCTTCCAGCCCACCACCTTCAATAGCAACATTGAACCCATTTTACAGATGGGGAAAAACTGAAGCAAAGAACGAGGAGTGTCTGAGGAGAACCCAAGCCTCCTAGCTCTGCAGTTACTTCTGCTCAGCACAGAAGAAGGCTTATTATCCAAATTAAACCTCCAGGCCACCTTCTAGTAGAGCCATGGCATGAACCAGCTGAAAAACCATGTACCAGATTGAGGCAGGTGGGATCTGCTTTGTTTTCCCCCGAGCAGGAGTGGCTTCTGCAGCACTGCCAGTGACTGCTCCAGCTATAAACGACTTAGGACTTGGGCTGTGAGCATCTTCAGTTCCCAGAAATTAGTGTTGAGCCCAGTTTCAGATATTAATTGCCAGGGAAAAATGGATTGGTTTGGACATAATAAGGCAGGGGAAGAAGGGGAGCTCCATGCCTTTGGCAGCATTTCTTATTTTAATTGCAGCTCCTTGAATGTTCAAGGAGAAGAACTTTGCAGCCTGCACCCAAGCCTGCAGTCAGCTGGAGCTTTATTGAGGTTTTCAAGCGGTGCTCTGAGCAGAAAGTCCTGATGAAATCCTGGGAAGCCTGTGCCAGAAATAGAAAGCTGTGCAATCTGCAACATACAATACTCTGCAGCCAGCTTGAAGCACATGCTGAATTAATCCCCAATTTAATTAACACTACAGTAATCCTTCAGCAAAAAGAGCAGCTTAGGATTTGTTTGGAAACACTGTGCTGTATACAGTAATATATATTAACGTCTTCAGAAACGCAATCATTAAGGATGCTTTACTCCATTCCTAATGTAGGCTGCTCTGAAAAACTAATTTATAACTTCTGGTCTCTGAAAATAGGGATTGGAGATTGAATGAAGGTATGGGGTTGCGCTTCCCAAAATTACAAAATTAGTCTAAAAACCATATGGTACAAACCAAACCCCAATTGCCTTGAATTTATTTTTGAAGTTTTTCTGGCATCTGAGCTAGTCAAGGGGTTTTCAGGGTTACTTTGTCTCCCTTGATGGATGTCTGCAAGAAATATGCTTAAAGAAACAACAGCAACAGCCTGGCCTGGCGCTCAGCCCTGTGCCTCCAGGAGGTACCACTGGAGGAAGACATGCAATAGGATGCTATTTTCTATTAAAGGATGCTATTTTATGTAAAGGCTTTTGTACAGTTGGGCTTTTAATTTTTCTTTCTTAGTGGAAAACAGCTATTTTGTAGAAAATTAATTTTTATTAGAAGTGGCAGTTTTTCAAAGCTGGTTTTGTGTTTATAGTTTGATCCTTACATGTTTCTTGCAGAAAGAAACAAAGAATGCTCCCTTGCTTTTGGCAGCCTTTCTAAAAATGCTGTTTATTTTGCTCTTCTTGTTATTATCATTTATGAAAATTAATAACTCTGTGTTTTAATACCAGAGTTTCTTCTACGATGTAGAAAATCCATTCTCCTCCTTGTGCATGATTACAATGGTTGCAGGCCAGGATTTTCCATGTAAAATTGCAAAGCCTGTCACTTTTTAGTTTCTTAAAGATATTTGCAGACTGTATCTTGTTTGCTTGCTTATGTTTCTGAATGCAGAATGGTTTACCCACAGAGAAAGACAGAGCAGTGCACAGCACTTGGGGAAATCCATGGAATTAAGTCAAGGCAGACCCAGGGAAATGTGAGGCAGGTGCAGAAATGGGCAGATTAATTTCGGACCAAAGTGTTTCAACAAAACAGTTCCCGTTGCCCAACAAGTTAGTGAAAATTAGTGAAGGAAGCATATGGTATCACCTCAGAAGTGTTGGAAAAGGATCAACACCCAGCAAAGTGATGGAGCTGGGTGGGGTCAGCACGAGTGGGAGTCCCGTGGAAATAACGGGATCAGGCGTTAAGTTGGAGGAGCAGGAGGTGGGTGCTAGGAAAGGGTTCAAAATGCACGGTTCTGGCATGCATTCGCCTCAGCAGCAGTGAGGTTGGATGGGGACGCTCAGCGTTTCCAAAGGCTTCGTGGGAATTCTGGCTTCACGCCCAGCACTGGAGCATTTGGGGAGCCCTCGCTGAGGAGGTGTTGGTGGGGATGAGACCCTCAATGGGGGGTTGAGGGACCCCTTGAGCAGATAGAGAGTTCAGTCATGCCAACATCCATCCTATGGCTCACGGAGGGAGAGGAGCCAAATTATGGCCAAGAACAGCAATGGCAATTTACGCCAGGTTTTTGTTGTGGTGGGTCCCAGTAATGGGGCTGTGTTGTTTGCAATAACCCCCATCATAGGAGCATGGCAGGGATCAGTTCAGGTCATGGTCACTGGGTTTTGAGCAAAAGTGGAAGCCAGGAGCAAGGGTGGTCAATGCTAACCTTGTTCCAGGACACTTCTGTGCAGGGAAAACCCTAAAAAACTTCATTCTTTCTCTGCCGTTGTCCCACTAACTTGGGATTCAGAGGAAATACGTGCAGCCTGCACATCCACCACGTGCCACAGCATTCAGTAGCAACACTACCATGCCATAATTGTAACACTGTTTGGCTACCAAAAACACTTTTGCCTCAGTAAGGAAAAAATACGTGATTCCTTTGTACAGAGTGTTGCAGAACCAATGCTCTGGGCACATGGATTAGGGAGTGCCGGAGGCATCAATCAATGGGAGCATGTACTTAAGAGTGTGGGTTGCAAATCAAAACCTCTCTGCCTGGTTAAATGTCCGACCCCAAGTGCTTGGAGCTGAGCTCTGGACCCCAGGGATTTAGAAGTACGTGACGCTTGGGGAGGAAACAGTTTTCATAAATCCTATTTATCTCTAAATTCTTTTGGAGGTAGGAAAACAGAGCTTTAGAAGGTTAAATATTAAATAGCCTGCTCCAGCTGCTCAGTAGGTAAAGGACAAAGTGCCAGCAACCGCAGAACACGTCACTGTGGGCACAGAGCATGAAGCTTCAAGTAGCCACTGTGTAAAGCAGCCTCAGTGGCACAGTGGAGCATTTTTAATGTTGTTTGCTCCCAAAAACTGAATGAAACATGTGGTTTGGTTTGTGTTTGCAGGGGGGAGGGTTTGATAGCACAGGAGGGGATGAAGGGGAGGACTGTGCATCTGCTCGGGGGTCTCCGGAGGTCTCCAGCCTTCTTGGACCAACACTTGATCTGTTTGACTATGGCTTTATGCTGCTGAGTGTTACACCAGGAAGAATGGTTAGCTATCAAAGAGGTAGATCTGTGCACTGTGAGTGCTCTCTCAATCCTGACAAATCCATGCCAAAGCCCATTCCCACCAGTGCAGTCTCTGGCTTTGTTTGCCTTGGGAGGTACCGAGTGAGCAGGATCCAAGAAAATCCTCATTGGAGAGGAAGGCTGATTCCTTCACTGCCTGATGAGTCAGCAGAGTTGCCTCCTCTTAAGCAGTGGGGTCCTGAGATTTGGGAGCTTCGTGCTATCTGCTACCACTTTTTTCTTCCCCTGTGCTTCCCCTGTGCCCATGTCATTGCATGGCCTGGTGTCTTCTGCACATCTTTGTACAGCCCTGGGGTAACAGTTCTGTGGCTGTCGTTCCTTGGTGTTGGGTTTCTGCCAGTGTTTTGGATTGAATACAGTGCTGCTAAAATTTGAAATGCATAATAAAATTCTAGAAAAATACCAAGGAATAGCAAGCAAAAAAAAAATAAATAAAGAGTGACTCATCTTTATACAGAAGTTCTTTAGGTAGCATTTGCTGCCCCTAAGCATAGATTGATATTAGTGGGTAGCTATTTTTTTAGGCCATACTGTGCATAGTTAACAACTTCCTTTGCAAATGAGCCCCCTACCCTTTAATCCCATGTGCTCCCTTTAGTTTGTTTGGATGTGAGACTGTGGCAGCAAAGCTGAAGAAAGAAATGTTATGCACCCCTTTTGCATGAAGATGCCTGGGTGATAGAGAAGCCCAAGTCCTCATATATCACACTCAGGTCTGGTTTGCATCCCATTAATTCAGCTTCAGAAAGTCTCTTTTGAGTTGGTTTTAGTGGAAGGGAGTCTCAAGATGCGGAACATCACATCAGCCAAAGTGAGGAAGCCACTAACTGGGTGATTTGTTTGAGCCCATGAGCTGGAAAGTATCTTTGTCCATCTTGAAGCAATTTTGGTAGCTGAAGCCATGGGCAGCTTTGGATATTAAACTTTCTTCATTACTTGATTGCCCATGTTATGTCCTAGGTGGCCTTGGGCTGTGTCAGTGCCAGAGATGAGGCTGCAGGGCAGCAGAGGTCGGTGCACCCCTGCTTTTGGTTACAGAGACCTTACAGACATTAGAAAGAACTCTGAGGGAAGGAGAAGTTTATTTCTGTAAGTTAAGTGCATGGGAATGCATTTATTTATTTATTTATTTTTTAACTGAATATCATCGAGAAAATAGATGTAGCCTCCTGTTTTCTCTAGAGAGTATGGATCAGGCTGGAGAAATGACAGATCTCTGAGATCTGGGGTAGACAAGCCCCTGGGAGGGGCAGCAGTGTGAGGACCAGGAGCCAGCAGATGCTCTTGGTCCCAATGGGGAAAAGCCATGGTGGCTGCAGCAGCGAGCTGTGCTGCATCTCTTGGTGCTGGGTTTCCCTCTTCTATGCTCAGAAACCTGATCAGCCAGGTGGAGCACTCCCTGCTGCTTACCTCTTGCTTTTGAGCAGATTTCCCAGATATAACTTCCCAGTGGACACCATCCCACCCACCCCATCCCGCTTAACCTCCTGCCTTCTTCTTTCAGAGGAGACGACATTTGAGGCTGGAGTCAAGGTTCAGATCCACAGCCAGTCTGAGCCACCGTTTGTCCAGGAGCTTGGGTTCGGGGTGGCCCCTGGCTTCCAGACCTTTGTGGCCACCCAGGAGCAAAGGGTAAGTCCCAGATTTCATTTACAAACCAAGGTCCCTCCAATGGTTCCATAAGAGGGTTTTCATCTATGTGCTGATGCCCATGGAGAGGTGTTTTCATGGTTAAGAGCCATTTTTACTCCTTGCTTCAAATTGGTTGGAGAGAGGACAATTTTTTCAGCATTACTTTCCATGCATTACCCACAATTCCCATAGCTTTGGCCAAAAAAAGGATTTCAGCTTTGGTCATTTCCCTGGCTCATTTTTTTCATGGTTATGGTTCACCCATGGCAGTCGCTAAACATGTTGGGTACTATCGAACCTGCTGAGAAAGATGTCTTTTGCCAAAAGGCTCTCACACTCACAAGAGAGGATTTCATGCAGCAGAGCATTGTGAATCCTTTCAGGTAACACAGAAATGTTCCTGTCGCTTATTATAACTGGTGGTGGGAAGCTCAGGGCCTGGGGTGCCTCACCCTCCCTGAGTCCCAACAGTGGCACATCATTGCAGTGCAGATGGATGCAGTATGATGTGGCATCGTTAGCCCCAAATCCTGGTTAGGCATTTGGAAAGCAGGCCAGCAGAATCATTTTTCCCCAGCTTGTCCCCAGTGCTTTCACTCTTAGCCTTCCTGCTTCATTGCTTCTCTCATTTTCCTCCCTGTTTTTGCATCCACCTTCAAATGGAAAATGAATCAAATTGAGGAAAGTGAACAAGAGCTGGTGGAGGATTTGCTTAGATTAAACCTCCACAGGGATCAAAACTGTAGAACTTCAGCTCAGAGCAACTCGACGAAGTCACCACCAAATATATCTTTAGGCCAAGGCATCTCTCCATGGCCACGGGTACCAAAATACAGCTGAAGGTGCTGCATTTCAGTGAGGCTGGATGCAGAGCCTCTCCCCTTCATTACAGCACACTCGTGCACGCTTATCCTGGAGATAATGAAGGGTGTGGGTTCCCAGTGGGTGAGCACCAGGTGAAGACTTCTCAGTTAAGGAGGAGAGATGTTTTGTTGTTGTCAGTTTGTGTCTTGTGGGAAGTCTGGTGGGCTGGAGAAAATGCTCAGCTTTATTAGCAGTTGTTTGGAGCAGAGCACCCAATTGGAGCCTAACACCTTGATAATAGTAAAGGCAAAGGGATCTTCAGGGGGTGAGGCAGCAGCTGCTGGAGCCCAAAGCAGCTCCTGTCCCATCAGCATGCCATTGGCTGGCTTAGCCCTGTCCTTGTGCATGCTCAGCCTCCCCAGACCCATCCTCTCAAGGTGCTCTATGGCCTCGGCAGACCTTGCTGGAGGATGTGATGGAGCTGGGTGCAGCAGCTGCTGGAGGAAGGAGCCTTGGAAACCCATCATGGGCACCTTTCATCCCATTCTCTTGACATTAAGCCTTCCACGTGTCCTCAGCAAACTCATCTCTATTAGCAGCTGCTTCCTGCAAGCCCTAGAGGACCTGGCAGCATTTGGCATTACTTGTACAGGACATACAGAAAGATAAGGAATCTACAAGGATGGAAAGCTGATTAATTAGCACCAGAACTGCTGGGCTTCGTGTGCTGTATCCATCCCCTCCTGTGCCTGGGCATCTCACAGCAGTCTGGGGACTCCAGCACCAGGGCAGTGGCATGGGGTCAGCCTCAAGCCCCAAGCCTCTGTTGGCAGATTCAGTGTGGAGCTGCATTCTTTGTGATTCATTTCATATCGCCAACCTTTATTATTTCATTATTTCGATTTTTAAAAGCTAATGCAAAGGAACCTATTAAGAAGATAAGCAGCTGAGAGAAAGGGGAAAAAAAATCACAAAACCACACCTCCTTCCCCACATCCATCCTTCTAGGAGCGAAGATACAGAATATGACAAGAAAAACAGATTTTAGGGGACTATGCTTATGCCTGTCCCCTCTTCCACAGGTTTTGCCTGAGTTTCGGTGCTGGGAGAGGGCACGGCACATTTCTGTTTGGTTGCAGCAGTTCTGTAACAGGTATAAAATTATACCACGGGCTGCAAAGCCATCACCCTTGAGACATGATAAGGTCTTTTTTTAACCTAATTACAACTATTACAGCATATGCATGCCACTGCCTCATTTAATTACCCGGCAGGGACCAGCCAGGCATCACCCAGTTTCTCCCACCCCAAACACACATCTTTGATTCAGGTCCTGATTTAGTCTTTTTTTAACACTACATCTCTTCCACTATGGGCACGCACATGCTGTCCTTCAATAAGTCAGGGCAAAAGGAGGAAAACCCCGTAAACATCACCCAGAGGAGTGATGTTTACCACACCACACCCCGTAAACATCACCCAGCCAGTTATTGCGGTCCTAAACCATGTGTTTTATACTACCACAAAGCACAAATTAAATGATTCTCCAGCTGGAGAGGGATAGAAATGGGCAGCAAAAGAGCAGGTTGTTTTGCCTCTCCCAGCTCTGAGGAGGCTCTGTTAGTTATAAGCACTTTTCCATGCTCAGCGCCAAAAAAATAGGCATGGAATTGAGCAAACTTGTCTTGTCTTGGTGGTGGGAGCTGTGCAGCATCTTTGAGAAAGGCTTTGCGGTGGAGAGGATTTATTTATGCCTGAGTTAATGGCTCATGGTGATAAATTCTGGACCTTTATTCTGAGAGCTTTCCAAAAGCCCCTTGTCGAAGGCAAATCCTGTGCCCGTGATGGTGCGTGATCTCATTAAATGTCACTGGAAAATGAGCTGTCAATCTGAAAAAGCATAAAATAAAATAAAAATCAGCTTTTCTTCAGCAGTGGCTGAGCCCTCTGACTCCTGGTCCCTCCAGCAAAAGTGACTTTTAAGAAATTTTTGCCAGTTTGCCAGTTTGGTAACATTAATGCAGCAGCAACATCGTGCTTGTGTATGATGTGTCTGTCAGGAGAAAGCACTAAGGTAGCACCACAAGCAAGGACTTTGCGATTGTACCCACTGTGTTTGCTGTGTCAAGGAAAGCAAAGGCGATGTGAGGGGGGTGTTTCTCCATAAAACGTGTTTGTGCAGTTATATAGGCCAGGCTGGCTTTCTGCTGTGGACATGTGGCCCAAAATCTCAGATCGAAGTGATCTGAGGATCTGCTGGAGGTGGCTCAGCACGGCTGCAATTAAAATAAGTATTTTGCTGGAGGATGTCAAACCTCCTCTCTGGGTGACAGTGTGAAGGAAGCTGGAGCAGTTTACACAGACACGTGAGAGCGTGGTTGCTGTTTTCTGGGGTTTTCACACCGTTTTACATGAGGAGAGGAGCGGGAAGGAGCCAGGGCAGTCAGCCGCATATCTTGCCACAAGAGATGCTTCGGCTGCACAGGGGAGTGGTTTCCATGGCAATCGGTGAGTCTCATGAATAAGGTTTTTTGCTCATGAATGGCCAAAACCCCGAGTGCTTTGTGGGAGCTGGCTGCGGGCACACGCGTGCTGGTCCCAAGGAGCACCCTGCACAGGGCTCTGCCCCTAGATGCCCTGCTCCTGGCTTTGCAGGGATGCTCCTCAATTTTTACCCTTTCCCAACTTCTTTTGGGTGAGCCGGCTGCTGCCATAAGCTTCTCTGAACCTTGCATTGCTCATGGCCTTGGGGAGACTGCAACCCACGCTGGCATCCGTTTTTGTGGAGGGATGATCCCCTCCAAAAGACAGATTCTTCCTGGATTTGGCTTCTTTTAATCCTGTTTTCACATCTGTGTTTTATGGCCTTGCTGCAGCTCAGGAGCACTGCAGCATCGCCCACAGGTGCTGGGATCAGATAACATTACTTACCCGGCTCAGCTGCTCCCTGTTACGCCACCAGCACGGCACGTTAGAGAAGATGAAAAGCACACTAAAATGGCAATTTCTGCCAACTTGGCAATAAAAATTTAAGAGGCTTCAATTAAGCGACAGGTTCGAAGACAGAGCAATATTGTTTTATAGGGCTCTAGTATGCCTTGGAGACTCATCCCCTCATAAAATTGCATGGGATAGAGAGCATCAGCTACGAACAACTGCAGTATCAAGAAGTGTAATTACAGAGTCAGGAAAATGGGACTCGGGGTCTAGCAGTGATCACTCGTATTTTCAAACAGGGTGTAGGCAGTTGGGTTTGAAATTCAGGAGCAATTAAGTAGTGTTTCCCAAGTTTGTTCACACTCACTCAGAGCATCTTCTACCTACGGTCTTACACCTCCTCCTGGAAACATTCACTCTGGTTGCTTTCTGTTTCCCTCGATCCCACACACTCTCCCAGTTGATTTCCTCCGGTCTATCATTGGACTCTACATTAATTAAACAACAAGAAGCTGACTAGCAGGCAGAAGTGGCCAGCTGTGGCAAAAATTTCAGCACATGCGAGATTCAAAGCTGAAGGACATGTGAGGAAGTGACAGAAATTATTTTTTTGTAGGACAGTGGTGTGGTTGTGCATGGAAAACTACATTTGGACTGAATTAGCCTGTTTTGAAAAAACACAAAGGAAAAGGGGTGGAAGCAAGCAGTGGAAGTGAATCAGATTGAGGAGCAATACATCTGAATGTGGAGAGATTGGAAAGGACACTTTTAGGAAGGAGGTCAGTAAGAGAAAAAAGCAATATCATGGATGCATATGAAGCAATGGTCTGGGTGTTGCTGTTAAGCCTTTGCCTTACTTCATGGATAAAAAGATACTTTTATAAGATGGAAACCACCTTCTGAAGACTAGAGAGCTTCAGAAGGGCCAACTACCATGGCTGCCCCTCAGAGTAGTGCCTATATAGGCGTTTGGCCAACATTGTCCAACAAATAGAGCCAATGTTGCCCAGCAGAATGCAGGGGAATACTTTGCTGGATGTGGAGGTATCCAGGAGAGTGGAGGCCAAGTTAATCACAGCTGAAGACATGAGCAGAGGGCACAGCTCATCCAGCCGGGGGCTACAGCAAGCTGCAGGCCAGCAGCACAGCAAATGCTGGGAGCAGCCCAGCAGTGGATATGGGACCAGACTTGGGATGAGCCTCTGAATGGGCCTTCCCTGCCCTCCCTGGCAGGGTCTTCCTGCAGGGCCACAGGACAT